CCATCACCGTCACCACCACCCCACTATCACCACCATCACCACCCCCACCACCCCACCACCCCGCCCTCACTCCTGGGCCCCCAGCTCCTGTTGATTCTGCCCTCCCCACGTGCCTTGCCATCCCCACTGCTGGAAGGAAACCATCAGCCCTGCAGGTCTCCGCCATGCTGCCATCTTGCCTGCAACCAATTCAGTCTCCATAGCAGCAAAGTGATCTTTTTAATAGTGTCTGTCTGGGCCTTTGGGAAATGCCACTCCTAATTAACTCTAGGATCTGATCAGCTCCTCATCCCACCCTCGAAGCTGGGCCGGTTCTGCTAGGCCCAGACCCCATCGTCCTCCCCCTAACTCACACTGCCTGCGAGGGCTTCTGGAGCCCGGCACCTCGCCTAGCAAAGGGCTTCTGCGAAGCAGTGATCACATGAACAACAGCTCAGTGGGTCATGGCTGGGCTTAACTGCAAGGCCAACAGTTCAAAACCACCTGCTGCTCTACTGGACACGGTGTGCAGCCTCTGAACAGAAGGGCAATTCTACCCAGTTCACCACGTCAGTGTCAACTCGCTGGCAGAGAGAGAGAGAAACACTAGTTGTTAAACACTGACCTGTTACCAGGCACTGTTCAGGGGAGGCTGGCTCCTGTAAAGATTGACAGTCTCAAAACCCCAAGCAACAATTCCACCCTGTCTGATGGGGTCGCTAGGAGTGGATATTGACCCCACGACAGGGGTGAGTCCCTTCCCCACACTCCTTTGGTGATACCACCAGTTAACACACTGGGCGAGGTAAGGGGTTGGAGTTCACACAGAAGCATCCATCCCCCCACCCCCTTGGTGATCTGCTTTGGGAAGTCCACGGAGACACTGTTAGACTCCGTCCCACACACCAGGATGGATTGGCTTCTTCCCTCGGTACAGAGATGAGGAGTTAGGCTCAGGGAGGTTAAGCCACTTGCTTAAGCACACACAGCCAGTCAGGAGGATCTGGTGGCTGAGCCCACTCTGTAAGCTGTCCCAGGGCAAGGATGTCTTCACTTGCCCCCGCCCCAGCCCACCCCACTTCCCCAGCCCCCGCCCCAGCCCTGCCTGCCCTTTCCTCCTCGCCTCCCAGTGCCTCCCTGAGTCTCTCCGCGTTGTCCAGAGCAGCTCCTGGGTACCGAGGGGGCTGAGCCCGCTGCTCCGGGAGCCCCCTGACGCTGGGCCCTGCCCCTCTCGGCAGACATGGAGCATGGCGCGTGGGTGCTGGGCCACAAGCTGGGCTCCGTCATGGTGAAGCAGGAGCGAAGTCCGGAGCCCTCCATGGACCCTCTGGCCGCCTCTTCAGCAATGGCCGCCGCCGCCGCCATGGCCACCACCCCGCTGCTGGGCCTCAGCCCCCTGTCCAGGCTGCCTGTCCCTCACCAGGTGAGCCTGGGGCTTGTTTGTTGGGGCTGAGGGGGGGGGGGGGGGGGGGGGAGGGCAGGCAGGTCGTTGGTGAGGGCATAGCCAAAGGCCTGTGCACCCAGAGGCTCTGTGAGGGGGCAGCGGTGTTGGCCTTGGGGGGGGGCCCTGGCGTTCTGTGCCCCTGCCACCCTAGTCTGAGGGCAAACCCCAGCAACCCTTGGAGAAAACAATCGGACGGCATGTCAATTGCTTGCATTGAAGAAACAGATTGTTAACTCATCGCTCTCCCGCCATGCGCCCCCATGGGCACGTGGAGAGAGAATGGCGTTTGGCTATAAAGATACAGTTGGTATCTAAAGGTTCTCCCGGGAAGGGGAGGCCCTGCCCACCCCCGCCCGACCCCCAGCTCTTTCCCTTCACGGGTGCTCTGGGCGTCTCATAGTTCTTGTCCTTCTACCTCAGTGTTTCCTCTGTTAAACGGAAGGGCGTACCCACTTTGAGGTGCTCCTCACCCTCGGAGGCTACAAGACGGGGTTGTCCTATTCAACTCTTTAGAGATGGTGTGTGGCTGGCCCCACCCCCCTGAGGGCCCCACCGCAGGCCAGCCCCTCCAGGGGGTGACAGCAGTGGGGGGTCTCGGAGGTTGGGCATGTGCCTCATGTGCCTCAGAGAAGGTATCCGTCGGTGTGGCCCAAATCCCACTGGCTGTGCCCACCTGACCCCCAAACCCCCTCTCCAGGGAGCCTACCACCTCCTAGTGGTAAGCACAGACCAGGGGGTGGCATGGTCAGTAAGGAGCTGCGACCCACATGAGTGCTGTCATCCATCTGGATGACATCCATCTTCCCCCTTGTGTCTCCCGGGAATCAAGACTGGGGGTCCCCAAGTTCCCTTCCAACTTGATTCTTCATCGTCCTCACTCACCTGCCTACAGTTGGGGTGCTGGGGTCCCATCCCATAATATCCTGAACTCTCTCCGATGGGTCGAGATGGCCCTGAAGTCCAGCACCGAGTACAGTCCTTCCCTCCCAGAGAGTGCCGCTTATATGGGTGTTGAGTGTGAGGCGTGGGTGTGAGGTCCCGTGTGCTCTCAGAGCCCTTTCTGGAGCAGCGACTTAGGGACGAAATCAGTAGAAATGCATGCTGTTAAAAAATGTAAATCTTCATGCCATCAGCCCCTCGCTTCTATTTAGGAAGGGCTCCCCATGGCTTCAAGTTCCTTCCTGGGTAATCTCCCCCTGCCTAGGTCTCTCTGGGCTCAGTTCCTCCCAGACAACTCCAGCCGCACCCGCCACGCTAGAGAGGCTACTGTCTCTAGATCAAGCGATGCTCTTTCTGCCTCAGCTGGGAGTGGCTCTTCCCTCACTCACCACCTACTCCCCCTTCAGCTGCCAGCCTCCTTCGTAGTCTGCAGAACTCATTTCCAGCTCTAACTGCACAGGGCCCTTAATGCCAGCCAGTGCCCCTCTCTTTCTTCTGTTACCATTCCAAATGGTATTTATGATAGCAATTTTTACCATTCCATTGATACCATTTGTTGGTCCCGTTGATGCTATAATAGACGCTACCTCATACGCTTATGGTAACCGGCTGACCTGGTCTTCCCAGCGAAGGGTCCGGTTCCACAGGAAGAAGGGCGTGCCCTCAGAGCCAGCCATGGGAAACTCTCCCCAGACCCGAAAGCCCGAACAACGCCACGTGGCCACCACTCTCTCCTCTTGGGCATGATGTCGCTTCTCCAAGCACTGGTGCCCAGAACCCTGCGCCCATCCACAGCCACAAATGGTGCAGGGCGCCCCACTCGCCTCTGGGAGGGAGGGGGGATGTATGGCAGAGTGAGAATAGCCCCAGAGGGGAGTTGATGAAGCTAGGCCTGTGTCTTCCTCAGGCCCCAGGGGAGATGACACAGCTGCCAGTGATCAAAGCTGAGCCCCAGGAGGTGAACCAGTTCCTCAAAGTGACACCAGGTAAGTGTGCCCAGGGCAGGGGGCCGTTTCCTCTCTAGTCTTGGGAGACAGCATCCCTTCTCCTTTGGCCAAGCCTCTCCCCCCACCCCCACCCCCACCCACCGCGAGACACACACACACACACACACACACACTCTCTCTCTCTCTCTCTCTCTCTCTCTCTCTCTCTCTCTCTCCCCCACCTTCCCCTGGTGTATCTATCCTCTTTTCATTCTCCCCTTGCCCATTCTGTATCCAATCACACCCCCCTCCTACTGCCAATTCCCTTCTTACCCAGTCTACAACTGTCACCCCAATTATCTACATCCTGCCACATTGCCACCCACTGACTCACTGAAGCCCACTGTATAGCCATACATGCATCGTGCACACCCATCTGTCCATCCATCCACCTACCCACTCATCCATCAATCCATCCACTCCTTGTCCACCCATCCATTCATCCATCCATCCACCCATTCATCCACCTATCCATCCATCCATCCATCTATTCATCCATCCATGCCTATCTATCCATTTTCCATCCACCATTCATCCATACCCATCTATCTATCTATCTATCTATATATCCATCCATCTATTGATCCATCCGCCCACCCCCACAGATACATACATACATACCCATTCACCCATCCACCCACCAATGGACAGCTCCCAGTACCAAGCGCTGGAGCAGCAGGAAGAGAAGGCAGTTCCTACACCCAGGCAAAGGCCACTGACAAACAATCAGCCACCCCACCAGAAGAGGAGCTAGCATAGCCCTGAAGAAGATCGGGAGCTTCCTAGGACCACCTAGCCTGGCCAGGGGAGATGGGGCCAGAGAAAGCTTCTTACCTTGGACAAAAAGGCGGGGGCTAGCTGAATCTTCCCAATCCCACCTCATGAATGCATCAAACATTGATTAAGCATCCCTGGGCATAGAAAGATGAAAAAGGCCCAGTGTTTGCCCTAAGGTGCCTAGAGCCTTGGTGATAAGATAGGCCACACACAGGTAGAAAGGGACCAGCCTTACACTGCCAACGTCCCTCCCACATATGCAAAGCACTGTCACCTGCTTCACCCACTACCCTCAGGGCCCGGGCAAGAGTCCTTCTGCCGGCCAGCATCAATACACAGGGGAAGTGAGGCTGCAGAGGGCAGGTAAATACAAGTGGGGTCACACAGTCAGCAGGTACACATGTGGGACTCGAACTCTCATCTCTCAGACTCAGAGTGCAGTGCTCCCTGTGGTAGGCCATCCAGAAGAGGCAAATGGGAATCAGAGGAGGAGCCGTCTTGTGTGAAGTCTGGAGGGGAGCTCTCCGGTCTCAGCTCTCTCTGCGTCACACAGAGCCGCAAGTCCAAGGACGCTCCTATGTGTATAAGAGCGAGCTTGATATGCAAGAGCAGTTGAATATTGAGAAAACATCCCAGCCCAGTCCAGATCAAGTCCATAAGTCCAATATTAGCCCATACATCCGACACCAATCTGTAAATTCCTCTTCAGACTCACACAACGCATGCAATGACGCCAAATGCAGTGGCACTGGAAACCTCTCAGCGCTGGCAGGGGTCTCCACGAGGCTCCTCCAGCTCCAGGGCTCTAGCGTAGCCCCATGTGACTTTGCAACAGGAATGTCTCACAAGGAGTGAGCGTGTGTCCAGCCTCCAGCGAGCTATTTATTTCCCTACCGCCTCCAAATGAGGTCATCAGGCTGCAACCTGATTGACAGGCTAAACTCCACCCCTTCACTTTTAATCTCAAATTGACAACAAATGACATAACTACTACAGAGCCCAGGCCTCCAGCCCCCAGAATTACCCAGATGTCGGTGCTGTCTGGAGCTCACCCTGCATCTGGGTGCTGGGTCCTCCAGCACCTGTTCTGGTCCGCCTGCCATGACTGGGGAGGCAATGGGGGAAGGGGGGGGGGGTGTCCAACACCAGGGCCCTGTTCCACTGAGGCTGGAAATGGAAGCGCAGAAGCAGCAGCAACAGCTACACACCCTGGAGTGGAAGGGAGGGAAGCAGGCTGCTCCCTGACCACCCCGGCTCCCTGGGCCTAGTTTTGGACCGTGACTGTAGTTGCCTCCTGGAATTGTCCAAACTGCGCTGCGGGGAGGCTTAAAGACCCTGGGCCTGGGAAGTCAGGAGTCCAGGGGCCAATCCAAGCAAAGAACCAGGCTTCCAGGGCCCCAGCCTCGGTGGTGTTGGAAATGGGGATGGGTGGCTTCTAGGGTGTCAGCTCATCATTCTGACACCACAGGAGGCATCTGGTATGACCACCGAGGACACGGCCACACTGATTTCTCCCACAGGCTCATGCCAAGCTGAGCCCAGGGGTCCCGGAAACGTTGGGTCCAGCCCTGCTAACCTGCTCTCCTCTGTTCTCCCCAGAGGACCTGGTACAGATGCCTCCGACACCCCCGAGCAGCCACAGCAGCGACAGCGACAGCTCCCAGAGCCCCCGCTCTCTGCCCCCGTCCAGCCCCGTCCAGCCCATGGCCCGCTCCTCCATGGCCATCTCCACCTCGCCACTCCTCACTGCCCCCCATGTAAGGAGCTGGGGCCGGCTGACCAGAGAGAAAGGGAACGGGTAGTGGGGTAGACCAGGGAGCTTCGCAAGATGCAGGATTGGAACGGGGTTCCCTAAGGGAGGGGAATAGGAATCTTTTCGTCTGACCAGAGGGTGGACAGGAAATGGAGGTGGGAAGGAAGGAGAGGCTGGAGAAGCCTACAGGTGGCAGGGGCAGGATTCTTGATGCCCTAAGGGGGGTGACCCGAGCTGCCTGTAAGATGCACTATTGGCTGTTCTAAGGAGGTCTGGGGGCCCCCAGGAGGCATGGAGTTAGACCCTGAGGCCTGGGTGGAGCCTGAGGGGTGCTCTTTGAAGCTGTGATCTCTAGGAACACCCCCCACCCCTTCCCCTGCTTGCAAAGGACCATCCCAGGGGCCTCACCTGCAGGACTCCCAGCGCATCCCTAAGCACTTGCTCCTTGTGACTGGGTGTTATCAGGTTGATGACTTCCTGGGAGCAGACTGCCAGGCCTTTCTCTCTCAGAACCACTGAGTGGGTTTGAACCAGCAACCTTTCAGATGGAAGCCGAGGGCTTCATTGACCACTGCATCCCAAGAGTGGAGGGTCCCTGGCAGCACGGTGTGTCACACACGGACTATGGCCTCAGGTCGGCAGTTCAGAAAAGGAGGCAGGTGTGAATTAAATCCAATAACAAGTATGCGGGGCACCTGTCTGACCCCCCAAAACCAAAACCCACTGCCACCGAGTCAGAGTGACCCCATGCATGGTTTTGGGGGTCAGACAGGTGCCCTGAATACTTGTTATTGGATTTAATTCACACCTGCCTCCTTTTCCAGATGGGAGCACGAGGCTCTGAGAGTCGAGTGCCTTGCTCAGGCAGTACAGGCAGCACATGGCCAGGCTTGAACTTGGGCCCGGGTTTGCCCAGCTCCTAACCAGTGTACCCCCACTTCCTGCAGAAATTACAGGGGACGTCAGGGCCACTGCTTCTGACAGAGGAGGAGAAGCGCACCCTGATCGCAGAGGGGTACCCCATCCCCACAAAGCTGCCCCTCACCAAGGCCGAGGAGAAGGCCCTGAAGAGAGTCCGGAGGAAAATCAAGAACAAGGTAGCATGTTCTGATACAATTGATGTGTGGGTTGCTACAACAGCTGTAAGAGCCCCCAGTACAATGATCTTAAAAAAAAAAAAAAAAGGTAAAGCCAGAGCCTGGCACTTCTGTGGGGTTCCTCAGAGGAAGGGGGTGTCTTTGAGCCCTGGTGATGCCAACCCTGGGCCTGGGGTCACAGCAAGCAGAGGTGTGACAGTCGTACCCCTGTGTCGGGGCTTCCCCCTCCAGATCTCTGCCCAGGAGAGCCGCCGCAAGAAGAAGGAGTACGTCGAGTGTCTCGAAAAGAAGTAAGCGTCCTGAGATGCCGGGGGCGGGCGGGAGGTCTGGGCCCACTCCCCAGCCTGCCCCTCGCTCCACGGTCCTTGCTCCTGGGACACCAGAGGCAGGGGCCAGTGGGGCCCAGGGCAGCAGGAGCAGGGAGGGCTAGGGTGCGGTCTGGGGGCCATTCCTGAGCCTGCTTGACCCCCACAGGGTGGAGACGTTTACGTCTGAGAACAACGAATTGTGGAAGAAGGTGGAGACCCTGGAGACTGCCAACAGGTGAGTGGTGCCACCCCATCCTCCCCGGCCCCGCCCCCTTCATCAGCACCTCCCTCCGGCACAGAGAGGAGACAGTTCCAGGTGACTCTTGAGACCAGGACCCTGCAGCCTGCCAGAAACCAACCCCCCTGCCAAAACTCAATTCCGACTCAGAGCGACCCTATAGGACAGGGTAGAACTGCCCTTGCAGGTGTCCGACATTGTAACTCTTTACAGGAGGACAAAGCCTCCTCTTTCTCCAGCCTCAAAACTGAGCTAAACAAAAACCCCTGCTATCAAGTCCATGCCAACTCACAGTGACCCTATGGGACAGGGCAGAACTGCCCCCCTCGGAGTTTCAGAGACTGTAACTCTTTACTGGCGTAGAAAGCCTGCTCTTTCTCCTGAAGAGTGGCTGGTGGTTTTGAACTGCTCATCTTCTGGTTAGTTGCCCAACTGGCGACCCCTAGCCTCCAGGGCTGCTGCAGCCCACAACCTCCTGTAGTGCCCTGCCTCTTTCTTCTGCCTCCCGGCCTTCTCACGCAGCCCTTCCTAGGAGAGGCCACTGGACGGCGCCAGACAGGGCTGTGGGGAAGCTTTAATGAGACGGTGCAGACCGGCAGCAGCTCCAGCACAGGAGACCTTGACAGCAACGCATCCTCTTGGGCCCCACCTAGACTAATCAATTCGGAGGCTCTAGGAGTACCCCAGTCATCTGTATCTCAATCAGCCTTCCGGGTCTTGCAGATGCACCCCAAAGTTTGAGACCCACTAGTGTGTATCAGCGCCCCATCAGGCATCACCCGGGAAGGTCTCAGGACATCCCTGACCTACTGCAGGTGGCTCTGCATGGTCTACAAGCCCCTTGGGGGACTGGCATTCCCACATCTGTCTAGGGAAGGCAGCCCAGTGCCTGGCACCTAGCAGGCCCAGGAAGGCCCAGCTCTGGGGGGTCAGCCTGCTCTGCCATGTGTGTGAGTCTCTCCGGGCCTCGGTTCCTTTGGCGCAATGGGGTTACTGGGAGGATTAAATGAAACCGTACAAGTAAAGCGCCCAGCACGTTGCTTAGTATTTGAGCATGCTTTCTTCCTGGGGTGTGTAGTTGAATTCTGAATCTTTGATGGTATCCAGCCCTGGGTCCGGTATAGTAGGTCTTTCATTACGATTTTCTGGGAGTCATTCAAATAACAGAGACAACCGCCTGGTACTTAGCAGGTCCGCAACACAAGACTTTGCTTCCTCCCTTCTCCCTCCGCTCCTCCAAGGGGACCCGGCCATTGCCCTGATTCACCTGGAAACCCCGTCTCTGGGTGCTGTGCAAAGAAGGGAGCATGACCCCGCCCCTAATAGGACCCACCTCTTTGGCCCAGATTCCTCTTTGGCCCCCAGAAGGGCTAAGCGCTTGGAGTTATTTCGCCACCTGCTGTCCGTTCTGGGAACTGCAAGCCCCACCTGCCCGCACTGGGTGGGGGACAATCCTGATTAAGCAAACACTTAATCAATCACCAGGCTTGCCCTGAGCGCCTTCAGCTGCACCCCGAGGGGTCCAGCGTGGGGGGGAGGGGGGGCTGGGGGAACCTCTCCTCGCCCTCAGGGTGCTCCCGATTGGCAAACGCAAATGACATGGAATTTCACGACCAAAGGGACAAGAATGATATTAACAAACATAACTAGAACCGAGCACTCACTGCACACCAGCCACAGCCCCGGCCCTGTTATGGGTCCAGGGAGTTGTGGGTAAAGGAACGACTATCCTTTATCTGTGGCTTGTGGAGGGAAGAGCCCGTCGGCTGACCACATCCAAGGCCGATTGTGGTTGGCCCCTCCGACCAGCCCCCACCCCTTGGGCCGAGAGCATCACAGAGCACCCCTGGGCTCCCACAGGATGGCTCAGAGTCACCTGAGGCAGGCCCCGGGGGCCCCAGCCACTCCACAGAGGAGCCACGCAGGAGGTGACCTTTCGGTTCTGACTGAAATGGTCCCCTGGTGTGTCTCACGCCAGCCCAGGTCCCCCCCGGAGGGTTGGGGTGGGGGCGGGGCTGAGGTGCCTGCTGGGTCAGAGCCTGGGATGACAGCTGTGCTTTTCTCAGGACCCTGCTCCAGCAGCTGCAGAAGCTCCAGACGCTGGTGACCAACAAGATCTCCAGGCCTTACAAGATGGCCGCCACACAAACGGGGACCTGCCTCATGGTAGGTGCTGTTCTGGCCACCGCAGGACCACTCTTCTCGGGGCCACCGGCCCTCTCGAGGGGTGGGCAGAGGTTTGACAGGCTGTGGGGTCCCTTGGTCCTGCGGTCCAGCTTCTGGTGTGGATACCTGCCTGTCCCACCCAGCACCAGCGCGCTGTCCTCCCTGACCAGCTCTAGCAAGGCGTCAGTAGCCGATGACTCCAGGAACCCAGCTAGGGAATTGGGGGGGAAGGGGGTGTCTCCTAGATGCAGCAACGTCCACCTTCTGTGCAGCGAAGGGCAAGGCGCTGGGAAGGATGGACTGCATTCTTTCTGGAAGGAATGCAGGGACTTGGGGGCAGAATAAATCCCTAGAACCCACAGGAGCACCCAGCGAGACTCAAGCCTCGGGCAGCCCAGATCTGGAAGGAGTGTTGCGCCCATTACCTTCTGAGCACCCCAGACCCTGCACAATTCTCGTCCTGTCAGGCTGCAGAGCTGTAGTAGGGGCAGGCACCTGGACCCCAGGAGTCTCAGCTCCTCTGTGCTGGCCAGGCTCCCTGGGAAGCCTGCTGAGGACTGCTGGGGCAATGTGCCCCCTTCCCTCTCCCCTCGGCTGCCCTTTCTCCGCTTCCTGCTGCCCGTAGCGGGGAGCCACATGGGTCACTCACACCCGTTTCTCAGCACTGCTTTGTGGCAGACCCCAGCAATGGGGTCAGGGGGCCCACACAGCCTTCATCCTCTGCAGAGAGGATGAGTGAGCCCACATCGAGGGTGTGGACGGCCCTTGGAGCTGTGCCAAGCCTGGGCACCCACCCGCTGGCTGTGGGGAGGAGCAGGAGGGTGGATCAGGGCCGCCTCCCTCCCTGCCCGCATCAGACCATTGCTCTCTCACTCCCACCTCCCAGGTGGCAGCCTTGTGCTTCGTCCTGGTTCTGGGCTCCCTCGTGCCGTGCCTTCCTGAGTTCTCCTCCAGCACCCAGCCTATGAAGGAAGATCCCATCGCCGCTGACAGCGTCTACACGGCCAGTCAGAGTGAGCGCCCACCCTGTCCCCAGCCTCCCCAGCCCCAACATCATCTCCTCTCATCCTACCTCCTCAGTTGGCAGAAGGGGCACAGAGACCCAATGAGGGTCTGTCTTTGCTTAGCTAGAGGAGCCTCTGGTGGCATCGTGGGCTAGACATCGGGTTGCTAACCACAAGGTCAGCGGTTCAAAGCCGCCAGCTGCTCCACAGGAGAGAGAGGAGGCTTTCTACTCCCGTAAAGAGTGACAGTCTTGGCAACCCACACCTGGGGGAAAGCAGGGCCAGTTCTCCTCTGTCCTGTCCACCCTCTGTGAGCCAGAGCAGCATCTGTGGCCGTGAGTTTGGTGTGGGATGCTTGAGGTGCTCGGAGGGGCCAGCATTTGGGGCTCAGAAGGATGCTTGGGACTTGTTCTGTGTCCTCGGTGCCCGAGGTGGGAGGGCAGTGCCAACACACACCAAGGGTATTTGACAGCAGGGGCAGGAAATGAGCCTCCACTGGAGGGTGGTTTCCGATCAGGTGGTGGCGGCTGCCTGAAGCTCTGAGTCCCCACTTAGGCCCCGCCCTGGGAGAGGATGCCGTGGCCTCACGTGGGGGCTCACAGGCACCGTCAAGAGCCAGGCGCTCTTGACGTCTGGACAGCCATGCCTGGGGTGGCCACACGCTGCCTATAGGACCCCAGTCGGGGTCTCACGCCCCCTACACTGTTTTCTTCATTGGGCCTTACAGCTCTGCCCTCACTGAGCGGAGTCGTAAAGCCCCCATCCCATGGGTGGCTCGATGGCATGTTGGACAAGAGGAGACGCGTACCCCAAACTCTGAGCACACTGCCAGGCACCCAGCAGGTGCCCGCTTAGAAGAGCTCACAGGAGCTCTGGGTGGTACAGAAGGAGCTGATGGGAGATCCTGGGACAATGAGGAGGGACTCCAGGTAGACCCGCAGAGGGACTTCCTGGCTGCCCATCACGGATCAGGAGCAGAGTAGGAGAAGGAAGAGGAAACAGATGGGAGGTCAGCAAGAGGTAACCAGGGAGGAGTGAGGTTCCAGCAGGAGGGACCCCGCCCAGGAGGATGAAGGAGATGTGGGTGACCTTGAGGGCCGGAAGCCCTCATGGGAGGCCAGAGGAAGAGGAAGCAGAGGCGGAGGGTGAGGGCCACTCCCTGAAGGAGCGAGAAGGACAGTGGCTAAGGGGGGATGGGCAGCAGTGCCTAGGGAGGCAGAGAGGGCCGTGGGAGGCTGGGAGGGACTGGGGCCCTGTGAAGGCAGAGAGGAGGAAGTATGTGAGCCCCTCAGAGCAAATGCCAGGAGGCTTAGGCCCCACATCTGGCCAGTGGTGCAAGAATTTTTGGGGGGGTAAGACCAAGAGTCTTCACTCTGATTTGGTGGTGGCTGATTGGAGGCGCATATTCTGTGTAGGTTCACAGCCCCACTCCAGGGTTAACGTGTCCACCTGCTGATGGAAACGTGCCTCAGAGGAAAGACCGGGGAAATCGAGTCCAAAAGATTCACCCACTGAAGCCCTATGGTGCACAATCCTACTCTCACCCAGACGGGTCCCCATGAGTCAGTGTCAGTTCAGTGGCAGCTGGTTTGGCTGGTGTCTAGACCGGGGGCGGGGGAGCTCCTCCTAGCTGGGAGAGAACTTTTGGGATAGGTTGGTACACAGAGCTACCTGCAGTCAGGGCTGGGGCGTCACACAACTTCCGGGGCGCTGTTCCCAGAGACTGTGAGGTCAGGGTGGGACAGTGGGAGGGTGGGGACCGAATAGCCTAGTGCCGAGCACCCGCTTCTGTTGAAGATTGACAGCCTTGGGATCCTAGTGGGGAGGCCCTGCTCCACCCTGTGGCTCAGCAGGCAGCCTGTAGGGTCGCTATGAGTCAGGGCTGACTGACTGACTGACAGCGATGGGTCTGAGCGGAGGAGGGGTCTTGGTTGACACAGTGGCTGGCACTCAGCTGCTTACAGAGAGGGCTGAGGTGCAAACCCACCAGCTTTTCCACTCAAGAAAACACCGAGCCACCTGCTTGCAGAGAGAGGCCAGGATCGAGGCAATCCTCTGGTGCAGTGCGACCCTGCCCTGTAGGGTGGCTATGAGTTGGTATCGAATTGGCAGTCCTGGGGTGCGGTTTGTGCTTAGTGCTCACAGTACCCTGGCATCAGGGAGCAGGAGGCGCCGGGTGGGACAAGTAGGGAACACCCTTGGCTGCTAACTGCGAGTATGGAGGTTCAAGTCCACCCCAGAAAGAAAGGCCTGGGACCCTACTTCTGCAAGAGCAGCTGCTGACAGCGTGGTGGGGCGCAGTTCTACCGGGACACACGTGGGGTTGGCTTCAATTCACGCTGGCTCCTGGGCAGCTGGTTGGATTGTTTTGCCTGGGTCCGCTCCCCTCTTGCAGTTTGGCACCTCAGTGACCATGGAGCTAAGAATGCCTCCTTCCCAGGAGTTTCTCTAAGACGGCCACCATACCATCTAGGTCAGAGGGCCTGCCTGGCACAATGCCTGGTCCAATGTCGATGTCCAACAAGGGCTTGCTTGTTTGTGTGCATTCCTTGAGGGGGGACCTAGGACACAGCTTGGGAAGAGAGTCGCTCAGGGTTTCACATGAAGTGCATGTTGCAAGTCAGATGAGAAGTCTGATCTGATGGCCTCGCCCTGGACCCTTGCCTGGCGGCTGTTCCTGGTGGCTGCCAAGCACACTCGGCCCACGTACAGCCCGGTCCCGTGCCATCCACACCATCGTGGTCATGCTTGAGCCATGTGGCAGCCACTGTGTCACCCCATCTGGTTGACGGTCTTTCTCATGGACCTACCAAGCTTGGTGTCCTTCTCCAAGGACTGATCCCTCCAAATAGCACGTCCAAGGTGTTGGAGAGCCATCTGGCTTCAGCAGGGAGATTCCTCATTCCCCAGCCTCTTCTGGATCTGGCTTGGATTTCTGGTGGTTTGCAATCGGCGCCCTGCTGCAGTCATTCCTGAATGATCTTCAGCAAAACTTTACGTGGGTTTAGTACCGATGATATTGGTCTAGAATGTCCACATTCTGTTCGATCACCTTTCTTTGGGGTGGTTGTGTCACTTCCTCTCTGTTGGCCTGGTAGCTAGCTCCCAACTGCTGGCGTGAAAGCATGAGAGATTCTAGCACTGCATCCATTGGTCAAAAGACCCCAATGGATATTCTGCCAATTCCTGCAGCCTGGCTTTTCACCAATGCCTTTAATGCAGCTGGACTTCTTCCTTCCAGGTCATATGCTCCTGAGCATCTCCTGAAATGGTTGACGTTTGACCAATTCTCTCCATATTCCACGCATTCCTGCCATCTTCTTGGGATGCTTCCTGCACTGTTCAATATTTTGCCCATAGGGTGCTTCAGGAGTGCAACTTGAGGCTTGAATGTTTTTCTTCAGCGTGAGAAACGCCAAGCTTGTTCTTTCCTTTGGTTTCGCTGGCTCCGGGTCTTTGCACCTTTCATGGGAAGACTGTACTTGATCTTCCTTTTGAAATCTTCTCTTGGGCTCTTTCCCATCACCGTTTCTTCTGCTGGTCTCAGCGACTCCGTGTTCAAGGGCACGTTGCAGAGTTGCATCTGACATCCAATTTGGGTCTTTTCTTTCCTGTATTTTCAATTAGCTCTCACTGTATTTAGGCCGAGCGCTGGGGGCGCCTTGGTTACACATTAAGCTGCATGCCATCTGCAGGGTCTGGAGTTCCAAACCACCAGCTGCTTTTGGGGAGCCAGACGGGGCTTCCTAGTCCCGAAAACCAATCGCAGTCCCAGAAACCCATGGGGGCAGTTCTACGCTGCCCTAGAGGGTGCCTCTGAGTCAGCGTCCACCCGATGGCGGTGAGTTTGGTTTGGGGATCCTTCTTCTTCGTTTCCAACCTTTGCAATCCGATCACCAGTAATTACCAAGGCATCTCAAGTGCATGTTTGATCCACTGCAGGCCACGGACGTTGGTAACCATCTTCGGCTTCATCATCATTGGCCATCTGGGTGCATAAGATTGGTGCATACGTTTGAAGAATTGTCTAATGAACTGGTCTTCCTCGTAGGGACGTGGATAGCATCCTATCCCAGGCAGCGTTGTACTTCAGAAGAGACCTTGAACTCTTCTTTCGGACCACCGGTGCCACACCCTTCCCCTTGAATGTGTCATTTCTGGCGAAGATCATCGATTGGCTGATGCCAAATGGCCGCTGCCAGTCTGCTTCAGCTCATTAATACCTAGGAAGTGGAACTCCAAGTGTCCACCTCATTGTTTACAGAATGCAACGCGCCTGGGTCTGTCCTTTGTACATTACATTCTTGCTTCCGATGACTCACGGGTGCTCTCAGCTGATTTCTTCTCCTCTTGAGCCGTGCCACGTCAGCAAACGAAGGTCCGGAAAGCTTCCTTCCATCCCGCCATCGTTAAGGCCGGCTTGGCTTTGAGGAGGCAGCTCTTCCCCGGCTGCATAGGGAGGGCCTTCCAACCGAAAGGGCTGCTCTTAAGGCACTAAATCCGTCGACGACGGCCTATTGCGATTCATGAGTTCTTCCCTGGTCAGTCTTTTCAGAAGCTGTCACCACGTCCTTCCTCCTAGTCTGTCTTGGTCTAGAAGCCTCTCCAGCAGTGGTTCTCCACCTTCCTCATGCCGCAACCCTTTCATACAGTTCCTGATGTTAGGGTGACCCCCCAACCATAAGATTATTTCCGTTGCTACTTCATCACTGTCATTTGGCTACTGTTATGAATCGGGCGACCCCTGTGAAAGGGTCGTCCGACCCCCGAAGGTTGAGAACCGCTGGTCTAGAAGCTCTGCTGACCCCACTCCACCACCAGTGACCGTGCTGGCATTTGAAGACCCCTTTCACAGGGGTCTCTCTAAGCACCACAGTCAGACCAACCAACAGATGAGTCACGGACTCTGCGTCGGGAGAACGAACTTCTACGTGCTCACCAGAAGCCAGTTCACGCCTCTGCGCTCGTGGTCTCAGGAGGTGGGGCCTGGTGTCCCTGCCTCACAGATGCGCACGTGGAAGCTCAGACCGGTGGCAGCTAGACGCGTAGCGGACCCGAGGTCACATGTTGTCGTGGTTGTTAGGTGCCATCGAACCAGGTCCGACTCACAGGGACAGAACAGAACTCCTACCCTTCACCTGCACCCTCCACACAGCTGGGAAATGTGAGCTGGGATTCAAACCAGGCTTGTGAGATCCCAGGGCTGACGTCCTTAACTACTAGGCCAGGAGTGAGGCCAGGCTGGGGACCCCTTGGCACCAGCGACTCACCATTTGCTCCCCCTCCAGTGCCCTCCCGCAGCCTCCTGTTCTATGACGAGGGAGCAGGCTCGTGGGAGGACGGCCACCGTGCCCTGCTGCCCGTGGAGCCTCCGGATGGCTGGGAAATCAAGCCCGAGGGGCCGGCTGAGCAACGACCTCAGGACCACCTGCAGCACGACCTTCTGGACAGCACCCATGAGACCACCAAGTACCTGAGTGAGGCCTGGCCGGAGGACGCTGGGGGCAACAGCACCAGCCCCGACTTCTCCCATCCCAAGGAGTGGTTCCGTGAGAGGTGTGTGGGTGGCCCCCTGCTCTTCTTGGGCTGCCAGGCTCCACCTGGCCTTTGCCCACCCTGGGCGACCTCCCGTCCAATATCACCCACACCCTTTAAGGCTCCATCCCACCCATGTCCAGACCCACTTGCAGAGGGAGGAGCGGGTCGTCGGGACACCCCCCCCACGTGACCCTCTCTCTTCCCCACTTCACCTGGCTTCTCGTCTCTCCCCAGGGACCTGGGCCCCAACACCACCGTCAAACTCTCCTAACCCGTGCCACGACCCACGACTCAGCACAGACCTCCTGGCACCCGGAAGAGGCCCTGTCTTACTCACCAACCCGGATCCGGCTCGCACCCCTGCCCCCTGGGGTTCCCATCCCAGGAGGAGGGGATCTCCATCCCTGTCACTCAACATTCGGACTATACCCATGGACCAACCACTCCTTCCTCACCTCTCCCTCCACAATCATCCGTCCACAGCCAGCCACTCCCCGGGCCCCTGCCCTGCCCCACCAATGACTAACACCACCACTGCCTACCCGCCCCAGACACACACACAGACATGCAGACAAGCCACACAACCTAACACACACACACACACACACACAGCCCTCCCCCCACTTCCCACTGTACAGAGACCAAGAACAGAAATTGTTTGTAAATAATGAACCTTATTTTTTATTATTGTCAACCCCTAAGATATTGTATTTTACAAATCTCCCTCCTTCCCCGCCCCCTCCCTTGTTTTATATTTTATGAAGTTAGTGCGGGCTTTGCTGATCCCTGGCCCAGGAAAGAGGTTCCCCCCCTCCCCTGGCCTCCCCCCGCTGCTGCCCAGGCCGCTGGGCCTTGTTACTTGCCAACCTGCTCCATCCATCCGCTCAGCACATGCTTCCAGAAGGCAAAATAAAAAAAAAAAAGATGCAGCATCAACCCCTGACTTCGAGCCTTTCTTCACGGTGGGGCATGGGGAGGGGGCTGAGAGTGGGAAGACTGTGGCGGGAACCCAGAGGTCATCATCCAGGAGGTGTGTGAAAAGATATTGCTACTGAGTTCCCCTCACCCAGTCAGATACTGAATTCAGACTCAGCAAAGAGCCTGTGCGATCATGAGCTGTCCTTGGGACCAGGTGACAGGCATCAGAAGACCCAAAACAAACAAACCAAAAACCACACTGTCGAGAATGAGGGGGGTTCAAGCAGAAACCCCAAATCCATCTATAGACAATGGGACATCCCCTCACCGAAGGGCCGCCAGGAAGGGATGGGTCAATCAGGGCGCAGTATAGCACCGATGAAACACACAATATTCCTCTGGTTCCTTGAGGCTTCCTCAGCCCCACTATCATGACCCCAGTCCTGCCTTTCACTGCGGGCGAGACTGAAGCATGTACACAGGTACAGCTAAGAAATAAGCACACACGACACACAGAACCCAAGAACAGGAATTGTAGCAGCGATACCTGGAGGGTAGGGGGAAGGTGAGTAGACGAGGGGAGGAAGGGGAAACCAATCACAACGATGGACCACCCCCAACCCTCAGCCCAGGGGACCAACAACAGAAACCATGGGGGAAAGGAGACAGCTGTCGTTATAAGATATGAAGATAATAATAATTTATCAAGGGGTCATGGGGGTGGGGGAAGCTGACCTTAAGGGCTCAATGGAAAGATAAATATTCAGAACAGAATGACGGCCAGGCTCAACCGGACAACACTCCTAAAGGTCAACAAACAGACCTGGAACTATTTTTTGTCATTGGTCTTTTTGTTGTTGTTTTGCTTTGCTCTGTCTTGTTTTTGTGCATATTATTATCTCTGCAAGTCTATCTAGATAAGATAAGTGGGATAAACAATCCGGAAGAAAAAACAATGGGACCGACAGTTCCAGGAGGACCTGGGAGAGGGGGAGGCAGGGAAAGGAAGTGGGGAGCCAACAAACCCAGGGACAAGGGAACAAGAAGTGATCTAAAATTAATGGCAAGGAGGGTGTAGGAGGCCTGGTAGAGCTTGATCAAGGGCAATGAGAGGAATTACTGAAACCCAAATGAAGGCCAAACATGATAGTGGGACAAGAAGAAAGTAAAAGGAAATAGAGGGAAGAACTGGAAGACAAAGGACATTTCTAGAGCTCTAAATACAGGCATGTACACATGTAAATATATTTATAGATAAGGATAGGGAAATAGATTTATGTGCATATATTTATATGTTAAGTATTAAGGCAGCAGACGGACATTGAGCCTCTGCTCAAGTACTCCATCAGCGCAAGAACACTTTGTTCTAATAACCTGGCATTCTGTGATGCTCACCTTTTCGATACGATCGCTGAAGACAAAATGGGTGCATAAGGAAATGTGGTGAAGAAAGCTGATGGTACCCAGCTATCAAAAGATAGAGCATCTGGGGTCTTAAAGTCTTGAAGGTAACAAGCAGCCATCTAGCTGAGAAACAACAAAGCCCACATGGGAGAAGCACACCAGCCTGTTGTGATCATGAGGTGTCCATGGGATCAAGTATCAGGCATCAAAGACCCAGGACAAAAAATCAGATCGATGTGAATGAGGGGAAGGGCGGCATGGAGACTCAAAGCCCATCTGCAGACAATTGGGCATCCCCTTACAGAGGGGTCACAAGGAAGAGAGGAGCCAGTCAGGGTGCAGTATAGCACCAGTGAAACATACAACTTTCCTCTAGTTCTTTAATGCTTCCTCCCACCCACCACCCACCCACTCGGCCTGCTATCATGATCCCAATTCTACCTTATAAATCCAGCTAGCATGAACACTGCTACAGATAAAAAATGGAAACACAGGGAATCCAGGACAGATAATCCCCTCAGGACCAATAATGAGAGTAGTGATACCAGGAGGGGAAGGGAAAGGTGGGGGGAGGAAGGGGAAACCCATCACAATGATTTACATATAGCCCCCTCCCAGGGGGATGGATGACAGAAAAGTTGGTACAGGGAGACATCGGTGAGTGTAAGACATGAAAAAAAAAAAAGATTTATAAATTATCAAGGGTTCATGAGGAAGGGAGAGTGGGAGAGGGGGAAAATGAGCTGATATCAAGGGCTCAAGTAGAAAGAGCCCCCAATAATGTACTCTAGTACAGATGGGAACTGGAAACACAGGAAATCCAGGACAGAGGAGCCCCTCAGGACCAGTGGTGAAAGTGGCGATATTGGGAGGGTAGAGGGAAGGTAAGGTAGAAAGGGGGACCCGATTACAAGGATCTACATATAACTCCCTCCCTAGGGGACGGACAACAGAAAAGTGGGTGAAGGGAGACATCAGACAGTGTAAGGCATGACGAAATAATTTATAAATTATCAAGGGTTTGTGAGGGAAAAGGAGCAGGGAGGGAGGGGGGGGGGATGAGGAGCCGATCCCAAGGGCTCAAGTAGAAAGCAAATGTTTTGAGAATGATGATGGCAACAAATGTACAAATGTGCTTGACACAATGGATATAATAAGAGTTGTATGAGCCCCCCAAAATATTATTTTTTTTAAAAGAAAAGAAAGAGCCCCCCATAAAATGATTTTTTTTTAAAGGAAAAGATTGATGGTCACATTTCTACAAATATGCTTGATACAATTGATGTATGGATTGCTGAAAGATCCCCCAATAAAATGATCTTTTACTTAAAATAAATACATTTAAAATAAAATAAAAACCTCAGCAAAGACTTCTGTGGCAATCCCTTCACCCCAGGTCTCCCAGTACCTACTGTGACTGGGTGCAGATGCACAGAGGTAGAGTGAGGGCCTCTCTCAGGATGGGGACTACAGTAGTGGCCACCTGCTGTGTCCCAGGCAGTGCATCCAGACAGGCCCTACTAAAACGTAATTCTCAGTCCTTGGCCTCCGCTGAATTCAAGGCACAGACCTGGGAGTAGGAAAATCCACGTTCAAGACCTGAAGTTGCCATTGTGTGGTAGGCAGATTTCTTGTTCTTTTTTAAACCACTTTATTGGGGACTCATCACGATCCATCCGTCCATCCATTGTGTCCAACACACCTGCACAGGTGTTGCCGTCATCGTTCTCAGAACATTTCTTTCTGCGTGAGCCCGTGGTATCAGTTCATTTCCCCTGCACCCTCCTTCCTTCATGAACCCTTGATCATTTATACATGATTATTATTTTGTCATGTGTTACATTGACCGCTGTCTCCCTTCGCCCACTTTTCATTGTCCATCCCCCCGGGAGGGGGTTATGTGTCTGTCCTTGTGGGTAGGCAGATTTCTAATGCTGCTTCCAAGATTCCTGCCTTCTGGTGTACTGTGTGGTACACACGGTTTGTGCTCAACTACTGAGAAACAATAACAAGAACTCCTACACGGAGAGAAATGATCGGATTTTACTGTTGGCATAAAGCAACCCAGGTCGGTTAGGGCAGCCTCAGTTGGGGAAACACTGGAAGGGTGTCCAGTGCTCCAACGTCCAAGAAGGGGAGATTTTTATACAGGAGGGCTAGGGCAACACACAAGTCAGGAGGGCTGGGGGCTGGACGTCACTCACAGGTCAATCTTTTGTCACAGACTGTCTACGCAAGCAGCTTCGGAGTCACAATTTAGATCGACATTTTGAGGAGAAGCATTTTCCTCACTCTTACTTCCAGAGCACTTTACTCACTCTTGCACTGTCTAACTTACAACTCTCTCTGCATGAAATCTTTCTTTCTGAGAACACAACGTCGTTATCATAGTCTTAAGTCAGCATACACTTGTTTCTTCAGGGGGGTGTGCACCCATCTTCCAAGATAAACTAGCGTCAGCCCTGCTAGCTTCCTTTTTCCGCTCCTTCTCATCGTGAATCTCCGTAGAGATTCCTTGGTCACCAGAAGGGATGTCTTCTACATGGTCTCACTCTGTGGAGGTTGTCCTCCTATACTTAATATGCTGTGGACATACACCTGCTGTCTTCATCATACGTGCTTCAGAGACTCTGCCTCTAGGACCTGGTGGGGCGCAAACATGAGGCCATGTTTGGAGGAATACCCTGGCATTCCTAAAAGACTGGGGTCTTTCACAAACTGGCTAACTTCTCGGCAATCCTGGGTGTGTTCTCTGGAGAAGCGAAACAAGCACTGCTTGAAGTGTGTGGATGTGGAAGGAAATTCACGTCAAGAAGTGGCTCACCTGGTTCCAGAAGTCCAGTCCAGGTCAAGTCCATGGGCCAGGGGTAAGACGAAGCTTCTCTGACTCCTGGAGCTGCAGGGCCTGATAAGCAGGAGACATCCACAGGCCGGTGGATGCCGACTTGAAAGAACCCGAAATCAGCTAAATGAACACCGGATCAGCAGTCTGCTGAGGGCTACCGGAGGCCAAGGATCCAGGTGCAGTACACAAAGGCAGCAAGAGAGAGGAGCTCGCGTCCACGTGCAGTCAATTTATACTAAAAGTAGGCCACACCCTGTAGGAAATCTCCCTCAGTCAAAGCTTTGGCCAAAGAGGTCTACTCTCCCCACAACTGCTTGGCTGCATCGTACAAGATCCTACCACAGAGTTGACCACACTAGGTTGGATCCTATCGTGGGAGAATTCTGGCATCAGGTTGACATAAAACCTAACTATCCACTGGAGAGGCAGCAGATGGATTACAAATGTTAGAGAAGTCATCTATTAAAATATCATGAAAAAATACTATAGTTACAAACATTCAACAAAACCCCGAAGTGAGCCACATAGATGGGCTCTTGTTCCATTATCTTGGCATTAGACTCGCCTTTAGATTTTGTCTTCTTTCCGGCTACAAGGGTATTTGAGTTTGATTTTCAAACTTCTAGAGAGGTGACTCATCCAACGGGACATGCTGGCCTTCTTCAAAAACTTGAAGTAGTCCAATTTTGTTGAAATAGCTTGGTCAAGCATGTTCCGCAAATTGGCGCCATAAAACTTACCTGCAAGTGACAAACTTGAAAGGTCCATG